CTGCACGTGCCGTTCAATTCTGATGATCTTCCTATGGCTAAAAGACCAGCAGATACTGAGCTCTGGCATGAGTCTGACTCTAAGTCAGGGACCTCGCCTGAGGCATTCATCTCAAGCCTAATGTTCCGCCAGAAACTTTACTTCCGACCTCTGATGTCGTCTCACTCAGCGCGCGGCACCTCGACCACGGCCTTGACTCATCTGGAGCACTGGTGGAGACTAAGCCCTAACTCCCTGGCTGGCCCGACCTGGCAAGGGCCGCACCACTACGCATTGACTGTCCCGGTAGGCACTTGACCTCGACCCTTTGGCGAACCGACAGGAATACTGTGCGGGACCAGCCCCTGGCGCTCTGCCTGAGCCCCGAGCAAGAACTGAGCCCCTTACGCTCTGGTGCCCGGCAGGGAGGCGCGCCGGAGGCAGCTGGCCAGCCAGTTCGCCGCCCACGTGACCGACGGGTTCCTGCAGTTCATCAGAGCGCCGGACGACCTGTACCCGGACCTGAACTTCACCGACAGGCGGCGCACATTCAATGATCCGGCCCATCGGGTCACCTGGAGAACGAAACAGGTTACCTGAGAGCATGACCACTGACTACGCCGCCTAGAGACACAGAGATTCAAGCATGTGGTGCACGGGTTTCTTAAGCACAGGGATTCCACGGGGGTTTCATTTGACTGGGGTTTCTTAAACAGGCGACAGGCAAGCCGTGGGGCCACCAAATGCACCAGCGGCAATAGTAGTCACGCGTCAGCAGTACGGGCAAAGTCGGGTTAGTATGTGACTGTTAGCTCCAGTCAACCATGACCGTACGTGCGCACGTGGGGTACGGGGCTGACGAGCGACGGCCGGGCGACAGGTCGGTGACGACGCTTCACGCCTGGGACGAACGGCAATGCAGCATATATATAATGCACGGAATAGTCTGCATCTTTACGCGGGCGTGCAGCTCAGACACTAGAGGGGCATAGGTTTCAGGAATGACAGTGCTGTGAACTGCACATAATGATCTTCAATGTGGCTATTTTGACTCAAGATCCATACAAATGTGAAACACTCCTTCTAATAGTATCGTTAAATCGGAAGCTCGGAACATAAAACGATGCATCAAGAAGTCTGTTAGTACTGAATCAGGTATCGTTTTTTCATGTGTCTATATGTAGGTATATATATATATATATATATATATATATATATATATACGGCCTCTGATTCAGCACCAACAACCTTCTTGATGTGCATCTGCATCGTTTGAGGTTCGGACTCTCGTCCTAACGATATTGTTAGAAGGAGTGTTCCTATATATATACATGTGTGTGTGTGTGTGTGTGTGTGTGTGTGTGTGTGTGTGTGGTGTGTGTGTGTGTGTGTGTGTGTGTGTGTGTGTGTGTGTGTGTGTGTGTGTGTGTGTGTGTGTGTGTGTGTGTGTGTGTGTGTGTGTGTGTGTGTGTGTGTGTGTATGTGTGTGTAAGAGCGCATGTCAACCCCACTGGAGGCTGCCCATGAGAGAGTCGAACTCTATAGTACACGATATGAACAGAGAGCTCTTTCTTCCTCTTGCGCTCAAACCGGTGCCGTAAATAATCTGTATGTAGATGTGGTGTTCCGGTGCTCAGACTGCTACGTCGCGTCATTTGCGGCTCTGTCCTTCTTTTGGTTTTTTTTTTTGTCGCATCGTGTTAATCATGTCTCACTGGCTGGTGTTTGCCATAGTGTCTCTCGTCTCATTCCAGGTGATGGACTTCGCCTTTCTTTTCTCCTACTGTCAACCGCTTTCGGAATTCTACATGGTCCTCGAAGATGACATCATCACCAGTCATTATTACCTGACGGCCATCCGTGACTTCATTCACATGCACAGGTGACTTGCACAGGCCACATGCGCTACTGATCAGTGCTGTATCACCACTGATGCAGCGATGGCTGCCTCCGTCCAAGCCTGCCGAAAATTTGTCACTCTCACTGATCTTTTAGTGTTCTGACTAGTCCTCTTAAAATCCACCATGTAAACCACGTAAAGATTGATATATGGGGAACTTGCAACTCCCTCTTACGTTTTTGCAGAAACCCGTTGTATTGCAGGATAAAGCAGTCAGTCTTTTGAGTGATCTGCATTTCAGCTTTGATTGCTACTGACAATATGTGGAGACTGTTCATAAACACGCGCTCGGGTCAGAGGTGAAACAATTTACCCCCTCTCCCTTCCGAAGGCTCTTCCAGAATAATTTCTAAACCGCGCGATGTAGCCGCGCTAGACTTTGTATAGGTGCACGAGGGTGAACAAAGCTACCGATTAAAAGCACACAATCGGTGATGGAAATGGGCACTTTTGCGAGCTATGTGGTGACAAAATTGCGAAAGAAGAAGCAAATTACAACAAACTGTCCCCTTTAGAAGAAACTCAAAGCTTAGCATTGGTCTGTAATCCCTAACGCTCGCAGCGTAAACCTGTGTAGATCAGCTTGTGTTGCGTATGTTGAAATATTGGCGTTCCGCTGTCTGAGCAAGCTCTGCCACAAATTGGCCCAAGGATAGCAGCTTAAATCGGGACAGTTCTAGCAGGTGACAGAAATAGATCATCAACTACATAATACCAGTGCTGACGTCACGTATCCGTGGTGACTTTGTGCTTTTCCAATGTCTATCGGATCAGTGCTTTTCACATATTTTTTCAGCTAAGGCTCACTTTACATACGCAGAATAAATAACAAATAAGTAGGCTCATTACCAGTCACAAGAATAGTGGCTGGCCTTAGCATTTTGCAACGAAGGTGATCTGTCTGCCACGCCGCATTTGATATCGCTGTGCCACGCGGGGCAGATGGCTTCGGATGCTCGCCACGTGGCTATGAATTCAGTTCAGTGCAAGGCTGTAAGCTGCCGTTGGCCGTATTCGTGTCGTGAGGGTCCGCTGACTTAAAGAGCGAAGCTAATTGTCAGTTTCTTAAGACGTGCAGGTTTCCTAGGAATGAAGGGCGTGCCTGTATTAGCTTTAGATAGCCCTGCCAAACTAGCAGGGTTGTTGTCTGTGGGAACCCGAACTGTAGCTTCAGAGGTTAACGGAGGACATTGAAGCGTTCTGTAGTCTGACTTTGGCTGATTTTATTTGACCCGATGCTAAAAACCTGGCAACCTTGAAAATTGACCGAACTGAGATCACACGAAGTTACTTACCTCGTGAACTTAGCGTTTCTGGCTCTCTTTCGGAGGTATTTATTACTCGGCTAGATAAGAACAAACAAGGTCAGGCTCCAGATTGATGTCAAAAGAGCTCCCAGACCTCATACAACTGCCTTGAACCTAGATACCTTTTCTAAGAAAAGGGTCACTGCTGTTCATTTAGGGTCAGTGATTGATACATTCAATTTTGTTATTACATTAGAAACCCTCTCGAGAGATGCATATCTTTGTCGAACACCCCGCTGTCGCATCAGATTGAACGGTTCACTAGAAATGGCCTTCGCTGACAGCCACGGCCTGACTTTGACCTACCATAGGTCAGCTACGCTACAAAGCTCATTTCGCTTTGCATACCAAACACCTACTTTTTAATTGCCTGCAGGCATGCAAAGTTAGGCGTCGCTGCGTCACGCCGTTCGGAAATTACTCTGTAAAAGCCTCCGGGTGGTCAAATTGGCCTCCCAGTACGTATTGACCTGTACCCGGGGCCACTCAAACCACGCGTCGCAGCAGCAGCCTCGTGGCGGCAGCTTGGTGGCAAGGGAATAGGCCGTGACGCCGCCGCCGGGTAGTCGCTGCCGTCATACACTGACACAACGCCTGCCCCTACCGCAGGGGCCACGACTGGGTGGGCCTCAAGTTCACGCAGTTCATGATCATCGGCAACCTGGTGCGGTCCGCCACCCTGCCGCGGCTGGTGCAGCTGATGCTGCTGTTCCGCGAAGAGCAGCCGGTCGACTTCATCATGAGTCACTTCCTGTCCATGATGGTGGACGCGCCGGGGCCGCCGACGCGCCGCGTGCCCTCCCTCTTCAACCACATCGGACGCCGCTCCAGCCTGGCCAACAAGACGCAGAAGCTGGTGGACCGCAGCTTCCGCCCGGTGCCGCGCCGCTTCCACCAGCGCAACCCGCCGGCCGACGTCGTCACCAACATGAAGCCGCACGCCGGCCACCTGGCGGCGTACGCCTACAGCGCCGCGCCCGGCCTCTTCTGGGGCGCGCCGCGGCGCGGCGTGGCCGGCACGCTGGACGTGGCGCTCGTGCAGCCGCGGCGGCTGCTGCGCGCCGTCGTCGTCAGCGGGTACGGCTACGCGCGAGGCCAGCGGCCGCGGGACCGGCTGACGCAGGGCCGGCTGCTGGCCGCCGGCGAGCTGCGCCAGCTGCTGGCCGACCGCGCCGAGTGCAGCGACTGGACGCTGCTAGACGAGTTCGGCCCCAGCGGGGCGGTGGACGCACAGGCACTCGAGCGGCTTATGCCGTTTGGTGTGCAGTGCCTGCGCGTGGAGGTCAGCCCCAATCACACCGGCCTTGTGGCCATCACAGAGATCGCCCTCATCGAGGAGCCCCCCTGAGATGACCTGGGCCAAGGATTTTAGGTAGATCGCTGCTCTCTGGTCGCGATTATTTTATTCTTGCTGACTTGTGGGACCGGGCGCCCTTGTCTTCCAAGCGCAACCAATTTGACGTGCGGGCATGAGCGGCGGAGGTAAAAACCTACTACAGCTACCAAACATTAAACCATAAGCATGTGTTTCAGCTGGTAATCAGTCTTCGAATGTTATTGTGAGTTACTCGATGATCTCTACGGAGTGATTACTTACTCACTGGTAGCTTTAAGTATTGTGGCGCATGTGTATGCTCGTAGCGTTCATATAAGGTCGCTTCGGTTCATTTTACAAGACTTGCCAATTTCCTGACATAATTATGTCATAAATCGTAAATAAAACTGAACGCTCACTCCAACCTAACGCAACATAACCTAATGTCTTTTAGTACAGCGTGACCTGCACCTGCAAGACATACCTAGCTGAGCTACTACCATGCTAGATCATGAAACTTTATTTTCCACGCTCTTTCGTGAATGCGATCTTTTCCAAGTGCGATATTGGCTCACAGCATATCCTTTGGCCAAACGATCTGTTTCTTATCAAATATTTATTCAGAGCTTTCTCATGACATGGTAATGGTGGTCCTGCACGATATCTATCCTCGCCTGTATTCACATCGTCCATATATTTTTTTGACGAACGACCTTCCTTTCGGATTTCCGAAGGCAAACATGTCGATTTGTCTATTTATTGGGATTGAAGAAGGTACCGGAATGTCCATATTGTGAATAGGCCAAAATTATGAATAGATATTTACCTGCACACAAATATACTTACATGCAAAGTGTATGAGCAGGATGTGGTGATGACGACGCAAAAACGCAGTGGTTTAAAGCAGCTGAAGCGCATCACGTGCGTACGGACGCTAGACTTTTCAAACATTCCGGAGCATGCTACCAACCAAAGTCGTGGCATGCTGTAAACGGGTCACGTTAAACGAAATCAGCTAAGAGACACGTCCTTAATTACTCCTTAGCAGTTTGCCAGTTTCTCCGGCAGCGGTTGGGTCACCCGTATCGACCTGCCCCCCCTCCCCTCCCCTAGCGCGGGCCGTGACACGGAGCTCCAGATCACCACACTACAAAGCGCGGCCGTCAATAAATAACACAGTCGTGGGAACCGGGGTGTGTGCCGGCGACCGTGACCGAGTAGTGCGACATCGGATATAGACACTCTGACGACACTGACAGGAACCGACACCAGCTGGTCACAACGACCCAGGGCTCGCCGCAAAGGCTCTCCAGTGGACCATGCTGGACCATGGACGACCCTGGGTCAGTCATAATGAGCTTCTATTTGACGTTAAGGACCCTGGGTCTTTCGGATCTTACCTCAATTCATTTTCGCCTCCGGTGGCGGTACTTCTAGAAAATGATTGAGGGTAACAGCAATAGCTCCGTACTTTTTGAAATGCATCTTTCCATGCGCTACCGTATGCCCGGTGTTGAAGATCGGTAACTATTTAGCGAACGAGGAACGTGCCCCAACGGACGGACACGAAGTGACCACCTGCTCACCTGTCATTGACAGACGCAAACACAGATGGAAATGTTGTGATTCTTAGCTGCGTGGGCTAGTGGAAGCATCGGTAAACACTAACAAAATTTGGCCGGAAGACTTCCCCGTTGGGTAGCCCTTTCCACGCTAGCATTATTAGACATGACTTACTTTAGCCACATATTTGAAGGCACAAAAAGATTGAGCATTGCAAAACGCATGGTTTATCGCCATGACTATCAAAGCATCACATCATTTTATTCTCAATATGTACTTTGCAGGTGTAATTTCGTCGTCATCGTTAGTTTCAATCATCGTCATTTCGAAGTCAATTTTGTTTCGTCATCGTGTGTCTGTTCGTCATTTAAATTTGCGTTACTTTGTGAATTGGCTTCATGGGACCAAATGCACGAACGCAAAGTGACGTACTGGTATCTGATCATGGAACAAAACTCTTCCGCAGTGAAAGTTTGCCGGGTACTTCCTTGGTGTAGCAGAACTGACAGGTTTCTCCTCTGTTTACCATGCCTTCCGTTCATTCCAAATTTGATATCAATTTAGGTTTGTGTTGCTAAAAATGTTAGCGGTACAAAGGCCGATATTTAATTATTCCTATTACTTAACACGCGCCCGGGTGGCCGGCTAGATACCCTTCGCTCGGGTGGGGTGTCAATTTGACCCCCGCTGAGATCTCAAGAACTAAGAAAGCTAAAACCACCAAATTTACAGGGTGTCTTGACCTGTACGTGAACTCACTTAGGTCAAAGTTTGAGCTTCCTGGGTCATGCCCTTTAGGTTGAATAAGGTCAAAAAAGGCCAAATCCCAGGTTGGTCTCCAAAGTGCCCCCAGAATTTAGGCAACTGTTCCTAAGCAAAAGGTCAAAAGCTCATTTGAGGCCAGTGACCTTTTTTGACCTTTTAAAAGTAATGATGACTAAAATCATACAAGACTGCTCTGAGTTTTGCATTTGAATAGGTGACAAAAAGTACGCTAGGCAGTATGTTCCTAAAACAAAATGTTGACCCGGTCATCTTAGGTCAATGACCTTTTCCAACATCTAAGAAGTCAATGGAAGATGTCTAATACGATTCCTGTCGTCGATAAATTCGAAATGAGCACCACAAGCGAACCCATACAGCAGGCCCTAGAGAAGTAAATCAGGTTGGTTGTGACCTTGGTCCGACCTTTATACCTGACCTTAGGTCAACGTAATTTGTTCATTCAATATTTTATGTGCCTAAGAAAGCATTTAAGAGATGTATGGCTTCGCCAAACACTCCGTTATTGTATCAGATTGGACGATTCCCTAGAAGTTGCCCTCGCTGAAACCGTGGCCTGACTTTGACCTGCCATAGGTTGGCGACCTTACAAAGTACATCTAAATGCTTTATGTCAAACGATCTGCTATTCAGTTGTCTACAGCTATTGTCTACCCGTCTTAAAGCATGAGAAAAAAAGAAGTTGTGTCGCCCGGGTGGTCGGTAGAACGCGACACGCTCGTGTGGGTTAGTTCAGTTTTTCCCACCTGGCGTCTAAAAAATTGATATTGCTACAGGTTCCAAATTCAGAGGGTAAGTGGATCTTCGTGTGAATTATTTTTTTCATTATCGAGTCCTTGTATCATGATCTTTGTGTCAAGCAAGGTCAAACAAGTTGAAACACAAGCCCGCGGGTTGAAGTGTCCTCAGCCATTCGCACGCAACCAGCTGTAACCTAGCTTTAACTCCTGGTAAACAAAAGATGGCAGGTGTTCATATTAGGTCAGTAACCTTATTTGACCTTAGGGAAGTGAAAATGACAGAAAGCACTTGAGATTGTTTTTATGTTTCATCTACAACCGATGCCAAGTCCTCACGCAAACGGTATGCTCCCAAAAGCAAAAAGTTGATCTAGGTCATTCTAGGTAAGTGACCTCCCGTAACCTGCATCAAGTCATAGCAAGAAATCCTTTGACGTTCTGATGATCCAGGAGGTCCACATGAGTGTCAAAACCTCCTGAACTCCCGGCTTAGTATCAATTTTCTTTCACCCAACGCATCAAAAAATTACACTACAATACACAACCCTTTCTTCGCATTTCCAGCTAAATGTACACATTAACAATTCACCTTTTGAGGAGAAAAAAGCTAATCACATGACTTGGTGTACTCATGGACAAATATCTTAGATAAACGTCTCGCACTAATCTCGTTGCAAGCATATTAAGCGGTAATGAAGTAATTAGTGGGATTAGGTACTTTATTGACAAAACGTAACATCTGTTTATAACACTCTAGTTCCCCCTATTTCGGTTATGACTGCTTGATTTGGGGTGTTAATTATGCTTCCCGTATAGATATGTTGGCAGTTTTGCAAAAAAGGACTTTACGTTGATGATGGCGGTGGAAACGACCCCCACCCCCTCCCCCCGTCACCGCAGCCGCGGGAGAGCTGTGCTATGCTATCAGCCCACTCTCGCTGTGAAAGCTTTGTGGGATGCGCCACGTCAAGAACAGACGGTTGTGCCCGGCGTGGGGAGAGGAATGTTTGACGTGCGGAGGCGGCAAGCCACTTCGCGAGGCCCCCGTATGTCCCCACCGTGATGCAGCCGACCGGCAGTCGGCGCGGTTCGCCGACGACAGCGCCGCCGCCTGGCCGGTGGTAGCCGCGGGAACCAGCGTCCGGCCGCGGGTTCGGCCGGCTCCAAGCGGCCGTCGTGCAGGCCCAGCCAGACACCACAGACGGCGGCGGGGCGATATTGCTCGGCGTCATGCCGGCGGCCGATGATGGCTCCACAGGTAAGGCTCATAAAACTTTGTACACAGCACCGGGGGCTCCAGTGACACTTTTGATCGACTCAGGCGCGGAATGCGATGCGCTACCTCGAGCAGATTATATCCGTGCCGAAGGGGGTGCCAGCACAGCGCGACTGCGCCTGTGTATAATGCCTCTGCCCTGTATGACGGGAGACTTGTATACTGTGATTGCAAAGTCGACTTGCAGTTCCATAACCTTGTGTCTGAAAGTGTATGTGTATTGAGGTGCAAAGTTGTGGAATATGCGATAGAGCGATTCTCAGTTTGAAAGCCTTTTTGTGCCTCGGTCTGATCGGTGTGACCCGCTGGACTATGTCTATTTCAGTGTGAAACCCGGGGCCCCTCTGACGAACAGTCCCCCCCCCACACGCACACACACACACACACACACACACACACACACACACACACACACACACACACACACACACACACACACACACACACACACACACACACACACACACACACACACACACACACACACACACACACACACACACACACACACACACACACACCCACGCACCCACACACACACACACACACACACACACACACACCTTCAGCCGCTTCCTCGGCGGTCGGTCTCGGATTATCGCGGCATATAGAGACGTATTCCATCAAAACAGAGTCGTTCTCATCGTGGACAATCACGAGATTGTCACTGATTCGGCGGCGGCTCCAGTCGTAGATGCTTCCCCGCCCCCGGGCTCGGACTCACGTGAGGGACAAACTAAAAAATAAACTGGACGAGTTCGACGCACTGGGATTGATGTCCCCTATCCTCGAACCAACTGAATGGACTCGCACCCCGCTGGTAGTAGATGAGCCGTCAGGGGACACCAGGCTGCGCATCGATCCGCGTCTCCTGAACAAAGCGGTGCGTCGAGATCGTTACCGACCCCGACGGTGGACAAGGTGACGGCGCGTGCGAGCCACGCCGAAGTGTACAGTGTGCTAGGCGCCGCGGGTGCACTCTGGCAGATTGGACTGACTGATGCTTCGGCCCGCTTGTGCCGCTTCCGCACCCCATTCGGTAGGTATGTATGAAGCCGCCTGCCGCACGGCCTCAAGCCCAGCCCAGAATCTGGCAGAGGGCTGCGCATGGTCTCGTCAGCGGCCTCCGCGGCGTGAGGTCATCGCCGATGACGTGGTCATCATCGGCAGGGGAGAGTCGCTCGCAGAGGCGGAGCGGGGACACGATCACGATGTGTGTAGCCTTCCTTGATCGCGTTCGCGTCCGGAGCCTGGTTCTGAACCCAGACAAGGTCCGGTACGAGGTACCGGAGGTCAACTGGATGGGTCATATCCTGACGTTGGATGGTGGTATGCGGCTAAATCCCGCAAAAGTGGCGGCTGTTCAGAAGCATTCAGTCACCGCCAACGCGTCTTGTCTAAATAGGGTCTTGGGAATTGCAGGCTTCCTCTCACGCTACATCCCGAATGTCTCGCGACTCCTGGCTCCTCTCCGCGCGCTGACGCAGTCGCGCAACGAGTGGTTATGGTCTCATTTGTGCCGGAGCGCGTTTTACAAAGTTAAGATGCTTTTGACGAATGCCTACGTCTTGAAGTTCTTTAATCCATGTGCAGAGGCTACCGTCCAGCACGACGCGTTCAGTTCCGGTCTTTGTGCTGTTCTGTTACAGGAGGGACAGCCCGTCACATATTGTTCCCGCTCACTCACGTCATGTGACATGACATGACATGTGACATGACATGACAATTTCACTCCTTCCGGGAGCAGCTGGCGACACAAGACGGTTTGTTGTACTAGAGATAGTGTCTGACCATGCCGTCGCCCCAGCAGCAAGACACTATCACTAGACTCCACAGAACTTACATCTGCGTGGCGTCAATCCTGCGACTGGCGCGGTAAAATGTGTTCTGGATAGGAATGTCCGTCATGATCAGAGAAGCTCTTCTAATGTGTCCGGTTTGTTTGGCCTATCGACCCGCGCAGACGCCTGAGCTGCTGCTCCCACACGAAGCTCTGCGTAGGCCGTTGACAAAGGAGCAGTGGATCTGTTCTAACTGCGTGCTTCCATGTATCTGCTGCTCCTGGACTATTACACAAAATTTCGTGGAAGTTGAATCCCTTTACTCGCTTCGCGGTGTCTCAGGTCACAGCTGCGTCAACCTCCCAGCTCGCTCGTTACGGCCTGCCGGTGACGCTGGTCAGCCAGGGTAATAGATACGGTGAGCGACAATGAGCCCCCGTTCAACAGTGGCAAGTTCCGTGCATTCACCAGAGACCTAGGCATCCGCCGCATAACCAGCGGTCTGCAATAACCCTAGCCAAACGGTAAAGTCGAAAGTTCGGTCAAAAGTGAAAAATGCGCCCCGCAAATTTATAGATGGTAAAACTCTACCCTTTGCACTCATGATGTGGTGGAATACTCCGAATGAAGGGATGGGTATTTCTCTTGCACAGAAACTGTTCGGTCGTATCTATTGCACGTTCTCACCGACACTATGATCCGCTCTCCTCCCACGCCACCCCTCTGCAGTTCCGAGACACTCGCGCGCCAGAGAGCCTGCGAGGCCTCCTACCATGATCGAAAGACCAGAGCGGTGCCGCCCTGGGTCTTGGCCAGTCTTTGAGGATGCGCCTCCCCGGACAGGGGGCGTGGTCACCTGGAGTGTGCGTGCAGATGGGGCGGGGGGGGGCGCTCGTACTGGGTCCGAGTCGACGGCGTGCTGTACCGCGGTAACCGTCGGTAGCTGCTGAGCGCCAGTGACCCGCCCCCACCGCCGCTGGGGGTGGAGGCGATCGATCCGCCTGTCCGACCGATGTCTGAGCAGATCTCTCTGGCACGACGTGGCGTGAGTCCGCCGGTGACACCACCACGGTCGCCGCAGGGTGCTCTGAGGATCCCGTCTAATGCTCAGAGCCCAGGTCCGATATCATCCTCGGTGTCTGAGCGTGGTGCCTCTGAGCTAGCCCCTGGCGGCTCCTCCACTCTCCTTCGCAAATCAGGGCGGAACTTCTCGGCCCGCGACATGCCTGACCGGTGACATGCCTCAATAGGTGTGTCGCTGTTTAGGTGGCACAGTTAAGTGGCTAATGTTCTAAATATCAGAATTTTGTTTCGTTAGTAGTCAGTGCTCTAACTATGCATACAAGTATTTCAGACCGTGAAGAGATAAAGATGTAACAAAATGTGCCGCATGCTGCGTGTACAGCTTCGTGTATTGCTGAGTCTGGTTGGGTTGTTTGGTTCAGACCCCTTTTGGCCAGAAATGATCACTGCAGAGTTATGGGATGAAGGAAAGTGGTTAACGGTGGGGGCGGACTTGCATGCGCCTAGGGGGCCAACCATCCAGCTGTAACTTGCGCTGGGTATCCGGTCGGGATCTCCTTCCCACGGTTTCCTCGGCCCACTTGTGGCTGACGCATGCAGCCCGCCCCGGACAAGCGGGGTGTCGCGAGGACGCAGAATGAAGCAAGACGGAGGATAAGAGGATGGATGATCGCTTTAACTATATCGGTAGTTTTCTTTTCCCTGCTTGGGAGAGACGGTGTTTGTCTGCACCCTGTATCCATGTCCTAAGTGTTAGTATTTAGTTACTGCGGAGAATGAGATGTGCCGTGTACTGCAGATAACTGTTTGTGTATTCACACCTTTCGGCAGTTTTCATCATGCCGGTAACTGTGATGCGTCGTGGGCGGTTGGCTCGACTTGTGCACTCAGCGACATCTCGTTGGAAATGACGTAACTAGTGATTTTGGTGACCGTCTGGCCAGGTGGCAGCACTACAGGCGGGCTCAGGAGGAGAAACAGCTGCGCACGCAGAGGCGAGGAAGGGGCTGAGCTGTTGAGGTTGAGGCGCTGAGTTAGACGCAGTGTGCCTAGATAAGCATGGCGTTGAAACGTACGAATGCAGAGACTGCAGAGACATTCATTGTTGTTGCTCGCGCACCGCGGAGCAGTGATAAAAGCTTAACGTTACAGCTGACCTGATTACGATCAACACAAAATCTTGGACCGGTACGCCGTACCAGAAAGGTTATCACTTCTCATGTCAAGGTTGTGAAGACGGTACTTACTGCAAATTGTTCAGACATTTTTCGTTTTGTATTATTGCACTCTATGTCGACCAGGAAGCCCCGGGAAAATGATGCTCCCCAGCTCAAAATATATTGCTTCGCCCCTGTCCACACTACCATCTTTCCTCTATAGATGTACTATTTACCCTGTGATTTGTCGCGGTCTAGCGATGTGTGACTTTCCAGCTGTCCATGGATGACCTGACCACTTGACTTGTCCTGTTATTGTGGTAGGCCGAGCTCCACCCAGTCAGCTGTTCTCTAGTGGTAACTCTCAACTCTGATACAATGTTGTTCGGGGTTCTAGCTCTCTTCCACTAGTCATCTGATCGCGTGACCTACAACTGCGGCGTCCGGAGCTCCACCTGTCTTCCAGTGCCATTCTGATCATGGAACTCATTCTGCAGCAGTAACGATATCGCAACAGCAGCTGCGATGTCGGAGCTCCAGATCGCAAGTGACCGAGCGACACGACCTGTATTTTCGTAGTGGTGTCAGAAACTCTAGCTGCTCTCCACCAGTCATCTGACCGCACTGCCCGTCCTGTTGCAACAAAGGCCACCATTCGACTTGGCCTCCAGCACTCCCCCACTGACTTTGTCCGCTGGCCTGCTATCACTGGCGTATGGAGCTCGCGCTGTCTGCTAAGTGGTCTGACCCCTGGCCTGCCCTCATGAGACCGGGGTCGCCGCTGCGCGGCGGGCTTGGGCCTGCCACTGTGCAGAGAGAGGGCGTGCGATCTCGCAGCTGCGATCTGGTGTTTGGGTGGCCCGTGCGGGTCCATATGCCGGTGGACAGGGTGTTGACTGCGCAGCTGCTTGACGCGCCCGTGACCGCCGGCGTGAAGTGAACCCAACACGGCTTGGGGCCGAGAGCGCCGGCCCCGGGCCAGTTTTTGGCTAGCCTGGTTGGGGAGTGCCGCGGCTGAATAGACGGACGAGCGACGGTAAGGCTATTCCCCCGCAACTGAAGCCGAACCTGGAACCTATACAGAACGTCGGAAGTGCCGGCCGGCCGGAGCTTCCGATGGTCTATACTGACGCCGCCGCAGGCACAGCCCGCCGGTGGCCGGGCGGCGGTGACAAGGCGGGCCGCCGCCGGGCTAGGCCGCCGTCGTCCGCCGGCACTACACGCTAGCGACGGCGCAGCTAGCTTATTAGCGCGGCAATCAGTCAGTCAGTCTGCTGCGCGGCGGGGTAATTTATTCGCAGACAAGGCCGGTACACGGACTACAGAAACATTTCCCGGGAAAAGTCCATAGAGCTGATGGAGAGCACGATTTTTGGAAAACTCGGCTACAGGCGGACGCTAAAACAGGCGGCAGCCGGTGGGGACGTGAGCACTGCGCGCACTCGCCGCCATAGTGGGCGTTCCTGAACAGGCGACCGACGCACACTACCAATAGTCGGCGATTGAGACCAATGATGTTCGCCTGCACGCGCAGGGGATGCAGACGCCAGGCTATCGGCTCTACCAATGATTTTCTCATTTCGATGAAGTCGACGGATGTTTCTTGCAACCGCACGGCATCGCTCCGTACCGAGGCCAGCACGACGCGCGCGCCCGGTGGGCCCCGCTTCGCCACCCGTCCGCCTGGAGCCCAGGATCAGACGGCGGCGGCGTCCGACATCACGCGTCGCTGCTCCGTCTCCGGAGACGGTCCGGGACGGCTCCGCGTCCGCCGACCAGACGGAGCGTCGGAGCGCGAGGCGACGCTCACTGCGTCGACTCGGAGATGCCGGACAGGCGGCGCCCGACATCACGCGTCGCTGCTCCGTCTCCGGAGACGGTCCGGGACGGCTCCGCGTCCGCCGACCGGACGAAGCGTCGGAGCGCGGGGCGACGCTCACTGCGTCGACTCGGAGATGCCGGACAGGCGGCGCCCGACATCACGCGTCGCGGCTCCGCCCCTGGAGACGGTCCGGACGGCTCCGCGTCCGCCGGCCGGACGCAGCGGCGCCCGACATCACGCGTCGCTGCTCCGCCTCCGGAGACGGTCCGGAACGGCTCCGCGTCCGCCGACCGGACGGAGCGCCGGGGCGCGAGGCGGCGCTCACTGCGTCGACTCGGAGATGCCGGACAGACGGAGCACGACATCGCTGCGAGTGCGCGCCGACTCGGCCTCGTCCCGCACCATGGTCTCGAGGCGGCGCCACTGCGCTCGCAGCTCGGTGAGATCCGGCACGGCCGACTCCAGCCCCTGGCGGCACCAGCGGGGGTCAGATGGCGGTCGCAGGCAGGTCAGCGCAACACCGGGACTCAGACACAGCCGGAGACTCAGACAGCGCTCACAGTTAGGCCCGGTATAACGTCAGCTCGCCGATGACATACACAGATAACATGCAGGAACGGTACAACTGACGCTCCCCGGGCCTAAGCATGGGTCCAGCCAAGACACAGCAGGTGTTCGTGCACGTCCCACAGTCGACAGCCGACACTCACTGCACATTCCCACGCACGGCAGCCGACACTCATTGCACATTCCCACGCACGGCAGCCGGCACGCACTGCACATTCCCACGCACGGCAGCGGACACTGACCGTGCAGCCAGGGCCGGGCAGGTCGATAGGCGCGGCGGCCATCTTGTTGAGCAGCTCCTGCAGCGTGCGGAAGTGCTCCAGCCGCTCCAGGTGCTCCTGGTCACGGCGTCGGGAGCCGGAGCGGTGGCGGCGGCGCGACGGATCGTCAGCGACGGCGGCCGGCGACGGCCCGCTCGCCGCCGACTGCGTCTGAGGGACGCCGCCGCCGCTCTCGGGCGTCAACGCGGGGAGACACCGGCACCAGGCCCATGATAACGGCACCCATGAGTAGCCCTTGTATATTCCAAACAACGAAATATTGATCGTTAAGAGCATCGCAGTCATACAATGGTGGTATGGTTTTGAACAGGAGGATTATACCGAAATTCACCAAAATCACTAACCAGCCCCAACGGTTACCTGTCATCCCAACCCTGCTGACCATGCGGGAAATGGGGCAAGCGCTGTCAAAAAATACCTGAGTCGAAGCTACCACAACTGGCTACCGCCTCCCTCCTTTCGCATTCATGTCAGACGATATCATTGCACGGGTTCCCAGGGTATCCTGCAACAAAGCTACTTTCTCGCCTTGTGCTCGGCACGAATCATCGAAACCTTTCGTCTCTGTTTCTGCGCTTGTTTGCTCTCGACGTCTGTGTTTCAGGCAGCCTTTAGTACGGTACCGTTTAAAAGATGTTAGAATGTGGGAACCGAAATGGCTGCGCTGATGGTCTTGGTAAATGTGTTCTTAACGTTATGATGAGTGCGGCCCATATACCTTTCAGCTTACCTGTTTCTGTTTCGTGCAGCCTGCAACAACGCAACGCCTGATATGAAACGCACCAGCGGAGTGAGGGCTAGATGAAAAGGCCGCCACCGCGCACAGCTGGTGTCGCACAACCCCGCCCGCACGTGGACCACAGCACTGAAGGGTCGACCCCGGGGGTCCTAAGCCCGTCAGCGGTGGGCCGGCCCGGAGGCCCTGGTGGAAGACGAGGCCCCGCGGCAGGCACCGACCTGGGCGTCCTGCGCGCCGCCGGGGACCGACGTCAGTCCGTCGTCGCCGCCGGCCTCCTGCCGCCGGGGCGGGACACTAGTGGCATCCCGAAACGGCTCCTCCTCCTCGCCCTCGTCGTCCTCAGCGGCGGGCGGCTGTAACACAACGCAAGCCGGATCAGCGCACCTGCAGCGTGTCACCACTGGCAGACATGTGGGCAGGAACGAGGGACGGAGACAAGGTGAGAGCTCCCCTCGACGTGTGGTAAAGGGCTGCTGTCTATAGTAAAGGCGGCACGGAGCCACAGGCCATATCGGCTGGTCACTCAGCAGCAGCAGCAGCCAGTCAATAGTTAGCATCATCCGCCAGTAATTGGTCAATAATGGTAATCAGTCAGCATCATCGGCGCGCATCAGCCGGTTCGGGGATGAAGACGATGGCTGGACTCCGCTCACCGCCACGCGTCTGCGGAGCACACCGTATAATATATAGCGTGCCTGCTTGCGCTGTCCTATGATCAGTTGTAGGAGGCATAGCGCATAGCTATGCTAGCAACCAAGCGATCTCTACTTGCTTCTCTTGGTTTTAATTTGCGGTTATGGTTTATTGGGGCTTGGCGGCCGATTACCAGTCTTTCACACCGTTTTATATGTCCCACCCCGTCCACATCATCCTTCGACGAGTACTCAATGGCAGCTGTCTTCCCAGCAAGCCGATGCAAGTGCTCCCATGACCCGCTCAGGCCCAGCGAGCCGCCGCCCCCGGTACGCGTCCCGCTGCCCTCTGGGCGAGCTTTGCCGGCGCGGCCGTGTGATCAGGGCCGGGCTTCTGTCTGCGCTCACTGCCACGCCCAGGTAGTACTTACTGGCAATCGGCGGCGAGCCTGCTTCAGTGTGAGCCGCCTCTGTAGCGACGCTGACCGGAAAGCAGCATTTATTTGTAAATGTAACTTGGTTGTGGAGGTCTGAGCCCCTGGGGCCCCATTATGGCTGGCTTATGTCGAGTGAAGTGGCTGTGTTGCTGATGCATGGATATGCCGTTCACAATACCGCAGCCCAAGGAAAATACGAACAGAGGCTGTGTTCTGCTTGTACACAAAACACATTTCGTCGTTTGACCGCTCGAGGCAAAATTTCCCTTGGACACGGGGACAATTCGCACGGATTTTAGTTATTAGCAGGGGAACTCGTGTCCATTCCAGCCCCCTGAGAGTCTCTCCATGTCTTCACCACAAACTCACGAAACTGTCCACCGGCCGATGGGCAGTCTTCAAGTCCATGCATTGGCTCATCCGTGCTGAAGATCGCTCACTTAAACAATGTCTTACCAACACGGCCCAGACGAACCCAATGCCACATGCTGCTGCCATCTGTCCGTGAATTTTAGCACTTCTCATGCGCCCGAGGGCGGTACAGTGGTACAGTACGGTGGTGCACTTACATCCTATTTGATGCGCAAACTTTCGATGAAATTCTGCATTTCAATGTATTCCTCGTATCAAAACCAAGTCAGGATATGCCAATGTAATTGTAGGCTGTGCTGATATTCAGGTTATTTCGTTGAAGGCACTCTTTTCAACTGTTTTCGTTTAACCGGATTTTCTCACAATTCCACAACAGCGACAAGCCACATCTATGCACCAAAAACACAGGTACCACTTACACCACTATTTTATACATACAGCAACTACTCTTGTGCCCAACTAGAACACCGTGGCGGTTAGCTGGTTAAACTTCTCTCGACGGGTTACACCTATCGCTTTTCGTATCGCTCTCCGGGTAACGTGGTTGCAAACTTGCATCGAGTTATCCCCACCGACGCTTGCTGGCGTCAGTACGCCGTCCGGGTGGGTGCAGAGGGCAGGGCCTGATGCAGTGCTCGCCTGACCCTCCGGCACCGGCGGCGTGAGCTGACGGCGTGGCGCCGCTCACCTGGGCGGCCGCAGCCCGCTCAGTCGGCGGCGGCCAGTGGCGCGCCTGCTGCCGGTACTGCTGTAGCAGCTGGCCCTGCGCGCTCAGCTGGTCGCGCTGCCGCTCCATCTCGACCACCACCTCGGCCACGCGCCGCATGAGCGGCGCCAGCTCCGGCAGCAGCACCGACGCCGACGTCTGGGCCGAACGCTGCGTGGTCGGCGGCGTCGCCCGGCGGCTGGGGGCAGGCGAGCCGCCGCCGGCCGGCGGTGCCGCCGACCGCTCGCTGCACGGTGGCGCGACTGACCGTTCGCTGCATGGTGGCGCCGCCCTACCGGCAAGACGATTTGGCGATATAACCTTGACATAAACCCACGGCCTTTCGTTGACCGCTAATCCCGTTGCCCTTTGGCCCCGAGTCCTGACATTCCCACCTGCCCGACGGCTTTGCTCAGCCCAAGGCGCATATATGCTGGTTGATCGTCGTCCGGCTGGATGTTGATTAGCTGATCGTGCGCGCGGGAGGCGCAACGCGCGGTGAATCCCACGCCAGTGGTGCAGCAGCATGAAAAGGTATCCACGTTCTGGCCACCCAAAGGACATAATATGACTACAGTGCTGTGACAGCTTCGGCAGGTCATTGATAGACATTGTAATCATTCAGTCGTGTAGTGGTTGAAAGATCCCCTCCCCCCCCCCCCCCAAATAAGCTGCATTCCCGTCGCTATCCCAGCCCCTTGATTCATACCGTCCACTAGCCGGAACCTCACCCATCAGCGGTGACGATGGAGCCGGAGCTGGTGTCGGCCGAGCTCCAGGGGACGCCGCGCGCGCCCGGTGCCGGCATCTGCGGTACGGAGCGGGCGCGCGCCGGCGGCCCGGGCGGCGTCTGCTTGCTGAAAGTCTGCAGCAGCGCCTGCAGCTGGCGCTCCAGCCTGCCGACGGCGCCGGCGGCCGACGTCGGCGGCGGCGGCTCCGCCTGCCACAGGGCGGCGTGCCACCGGTCGGCCACGCGGACTAGTGTCGGCACAGGGGACACGCGAGTACACCTGCTGCTGCGCACCCGTGGGGCAACGGCGTTTAAGGCTCGCACAAAATGTGTGTGGGGAAGGCTACTTGGAACGGTTGGAGAGAGGCGCGAAGAGGTGATGAAAGCGTTATGCCTCGTTTGTTCAGGCGGGTGTCATAAGAGCTGATGAGAGCCCCGGCCACCGTCACGTGTTGACTGACCAGCTTCTCCAGGGCGTTGGCGTCCTGTCTGGTGAACAGGCCGAGTTTCTGCTCCATGCTGAGACAGTCCTTCTGGCGCGCGAGACACTCCTCCTGCCACTCCTGGCATCTGGCACACCACATTAAAGCGCGTCATCCCATGGCGCCCAGGCCGCCTGAATATGAGGCATAGGGTCCCATCACCACCATGACACCCAGCATAAGATGGCTTGGCTTCCCTGCTAACTTCGCGAACTAGCTTTCCTCTTAACAAAATAGTTATTATCTAAAAGTGCTGGTTGATCAATGGAAATAAAAGAACCTACGTCTTTATGCTTTTGACCTGGACAGCTTCAGCACGTCATTGCATGAACACCATGTTATCATAGTCCTAGTGCGATGCGGATTCAGGAAAGATCCTGCAACTCCTGCACCAGGAGTCCCTGCCGGCGCCACCAGACAATCACAAGATGTCGGCAGCGCCTCTACAGCAGGCGTGCAGCAGCCGACCTTCGCCTGCCGGGCGGTGTCTCCTGCGCTTTTCTTCGCCGCCTGCGCCCTCACCTGTCGAGCAGCACCTCATACTTGCGGGGCCAGTCAACGGCGGGGCCCGACGACTGCTTCAGCTGGTGCAGCTCCGTCACCACCGCGTCCAGCTGCGACTGCGCGGACGGCAGGAGCGGCCCGTCAGCACGCGAGGGCCTGCGGCGGAGTCAGGGCGGCGACCGACATCGCGGCGGCGCCACCTTACCGCGCGGTCCCGCTCCTGCCTTCTTCACCGCTGTCCAGTGTCAACGCTTCTCCAGATGAGGATCGCACGGGCGCAGCGACGAACCAGAGCTGATCTATCAACAGTGCGGAAAGGCAAGCCAGCTGCACAGCCGAGCGTAGTCCCGTTCCGTACGCTGACAGCTGGCCACGGATGAGCTGAACTAGCTGGCCACGGATCTAACCTACGGTTCACCGACACACAGAGCGGCGCCGGCTCATTCACTCTCCCCCCCCCCCCTCCCCTGACCGCCTCCCCCTTCCCCCCGGACGGCACACCTTCATGTCGCAGTCGACCTGGTCGAGGCGGCGGCGCATCTGTGTGGTGAGCTTGCGCTCCGCCTCGAGCTCGGCGCGCGCCGCCTGCAGCCGCGCCGTCAGCTGCATGGTCTCGTGCAGCGCCGCCTGCAGCTTGCTCGACGTGCGCTCCCACTCCATCCGGTTGGACAGCAGAGACCTGGCGCGGGGGCGCAGGTGTCACGGGCGCGGCACAGCCATCCGGACAGGGCACAAGCCGAGGACGGGGCGCAGCGATCGGGGACAGAGACTTAGACGTCACAGGCATGGCACGGAGGCCGGGAACGGCGAAGAGGGCGTCACGGGGGCGCCCGGCGCACCTGTTCTCCTGGCGCAGCCGCTGCACCAGCTGCTCACTCTCGCGCAGCCGTCGTGCTTCGGCGGCCAGCTTCAGCAGCAGCTGCTGGCTGCGCTTCTGATGCTCGTTCTGCTGCGCCTCCGCCTGCGTGACGGCCTGCTGCGCCACCTTCAGCCGAGCCTGCCGGGGCGAACCGCACGCGTCAAGAGCAGCTCGGCCGCCGATGGCACATGCCAGCGCGGAGCTGAGCAGAACACGCCACGCGCACGCGAGCACGCGGCAGCTGCACGGTCGACGGCCAGACGGCAGACCACGCCGGCGTGCCCCGTACCTGGAGCTCCATGTAGGCTCGATCGGCCTCGGCCGACATGTGGGGCAGCTTCTGGCGAATCTCGTCCAGGCTGGTCTCCAGTTGCCGGGTGCGGTCTGGACAGGCGGGCAGGACCAGAGGCGGCAGGGGCGGGAGCGCGAGGTCAGACGGCGTCGCAGCAGCAGCGGAGCCGGGTGGGCGGGGAGGATGGCGTCACTAGGTGAGAAGACGGCGCTCGGCGAGGGAGTGAGGGATGAAACATGCAGTCTCGGTCGGAGCGGAACCAAGGCTCAGGGCGTCGGTAGCGCAACAGCCGTCGTATCCCGCAAGCCCGCACCTCTTACCATGAAGCCCACGGCGACGCAAACAACGAAACGATTTGGACCGAATCTGCGACCGGAAAACCGGCGACAACGCGAGCGCACACGACCAGCCCACCGTCTGCCGGCCCTGCTCCGCCGGGCTGGCCGGCGTCTGGGCTGCAGCGCTTTCCCGCGAGCCGGCCGTACCGTGCGCCGCCGCCAGCTGCTTCTTCAGCTCGGCCACGGTGAGGCGGAGCTGCTTGGCGGCGCAGGCGGGCGGCGGCCGGCCGCCGCGCAGCGCGCGCAGGTCTCGCAGGCTGCCGCCGACGGCCGCCTGTCGACGGCGGCTGGCGCCCGTGAGCCGTCGCGGCACGGTCACGGCCGCCCGTCAGCCGTGGGGCGGCACAGTCCACCAACACTCAAACACCAACAGAGGCGGCCGCCGGTCCCACCGCGCGGCACGAATAGAAGCTGATGTACTGATGCTGACGCATTTCCTCGCCTCTCACGGTGCTGCAAGCCAAGAGCCACCCCCCCCCCCCCCCCCCCCCCTCCCTCCAGATAATCAGCCGGTTACGCCGCTCTTGTTCTGGGCTCCACTAGGGCTTCATGTTAAGCTGATCTACAAAATCGGAATATATGGCATCAGTTTCGACTATCCAGCATCGATAATAGATGTTGAAGCCATCACAAGTCCACTAATGATGATAGCATCTGCCTGGTGACGCGACGGCTAACTCAGCTCTGTCAGCTTGGCGGCCGACGACATCACCTCATTGCATTCGCAGAGTCCCGGCAGGTCCTGGTCGGAGAAAACGCTCTTCAGCTTGTTCAGGTCCTTAGCCACCTCCTCCAGCTTCGACTTTTGCCTCTGTCGGCCAGACAAGCATGGAGTCGGCTTGGATACATGGGTGTGATGGTTCTGTTTACGGAAACGGATCTGTGCTGGATGGGTGGAGCGTTTGCGTCCACAGTCGACATAACAAACGGATCCTCCCACAGGATGGTCCAATGGCAACAGTACACAGAGAGAGAAGCAGGAATGGATCCAGCGAGATTTGCATTAATATCAACTCGGGGTAGCCAAAGTCGGAGGACGCGAGGGCCAGGCTCCTCAGGTGAAAGCCGCCAGGTACCTGTATAATGCCGTCCTTCTTGGCTATAGCCGTGGTATGCATCTCGTCGCGTTTGGCTTTCTGAGCCAGCTCCTTCTGCAGCTGAGTTTTACTTGCTTTGACATCGTGGAGCTGAAAGGAGGCAAATCTAAGCACGCGCGCTGATGAGATCAGCTGCAATTCTAGTTTATTTGCCATCAAACAGACAGTAATCGCTTGCAGCACACGAGGCTCCATTCATCGATATAGGCGTTCGGGACTGATCGAAATCGCATGTGGAGCTGGGAGATTTTAGGTGAGGCATCAACGATAAACAGCCTGTAAATAACATTCACAAGCCTGTGCAGCGGAACACCGTTCTCGCAGACCTCCCAAATGAGACTACAGCCGTTAGGTGCGGCATTTCATAGGTGTGTAGAGGATGAAACACAAAAAACGGTGGCTAAAATGTTTTACATACGCGACAATGTTGTACATTATGTGACCTGTCGCTAAATAGATCATAGCTTTATGCAGATATATAATTTTCTCAGGAATCAAAATTTTGGAGAGTTCAGTACCCAACAGGTAATGACAACAAATAGTGTCCTCGACCCAGGCATCAGGATTTTGCATGACAGATTTCAGTAGATTGCCCATCAAACGGCAGTTCAAATGACAGAAACAAGTCTACGAGGATCTAACGACTAACGGCAAAGAGAGACCACGACTTTAAATCGGTGTGAGATATGAACAAACAACAGAATTTCAGCATCAGTCTAGAATCGGTGCAGGCGACACCTACCGTCGACTTGAGGCCGATGACCTGCGCAGCCTTGACCTCGACCGAACGGCGGGCCTCGGCCAGCTGATTGGTGCGCTCAGTCAGCTGGCGCGCGCCGTCCGCCAGCTGGCCGTCCCGCTCGGCCAGCCGCTGACGCACGGCGGCCAGCTGACGGGCGAGCCGGTCCTGTTCGCGGCGCGCCGCGATCAGCTGCTGCTGGCTGGCGCTGGCAGCTGCGGCACAAGCGTGCGCTCACTGAAGCAGCGCCGGTGGACAGGCGGCATCGGCTGCCACGGTACACACGCCTGCTACGGTACACACGCCTGCTGTTCGTCCGAGGTCTGTCATACGCCATCAGTTGAGGTGTGAGCGTGTCTAAATGGCAAATTACTTCCTCAAACGAATATGTCTGCGTCAAATATGTGCCGCGTTTCAAACATCTGACCGTACATACCTTGCCCGTTCCTCAGCATGCAGTCGTCACTTTTGACCGTTTCTATGGGTTCCGGGTTGTGAGGTGGGGATATATCTGTACACATTATTTATACTGTTTTGACTGCACCACAGCTACATGTACTCATGTACTCGTGTACATACTGAGAAGGGTGGCGAAGTTGATCCGGCAATATTACCTGCGTGGTGCGTGCAGCGCAACACCGATTTACATGACCCTTCGTGTCAGCACACACGCCGTGATGGTCAGGCCAAAGACGGTGCGAGCCGGGGTAACAACCGAGTCTAGTGAGTCACTCGCGAACTTTAGCTTGTAATTTCACACAGGTTAATAGACGCCGAAATATATCAACCAAAGTCAAAGCAGCTGGTGCAGCCCGACCACTGAGCCGGACTTGAACGGCCAAATTGCACTCCCCTGATGGCAGTGGATCCAAAATACCATAAACATCGTTGGTGACGAGTTCTGGATCGCGCTGTTTTTGAAAGTCACGCTCATGTCCGCAAGCAGCTCCATCAAAAGATGATTAATACAAATGAGAGCACGTGGCCGCGGGCTGGATGGATCAGCCTACTTTTAACTGACGCCTCCGCATCGTTTATGCTCTTCTTCAGTTGATCCACTTCCTTTGCGTGGCTGGCTTTCATCGCATCCTTTTCCTTGGTGAGCGAGTCCACCTCATTTTCCAACACCGTTATCGATTTCTGGTTATCCTCGGCCTGCAAGATACCGGCGTCACGTAGCATTCTGAACTCAACTCACTGACGTGGAACAATGCGTTGACACAGACCACAGGCATCGGCTCACCGATGCACAGCAGAAATTCGAGCGTGAAAGCGCGGTGAGCTCATTTGGTTTCAATAGTCTTGACAGACCAGTTTATGTCAGATGACAGGTACTCCATGTCACTCGCAGACTATCGCAAAAGCGCATAAAACGTTTTTGGGAGAGTGCCTGACGTTTGATATAATTGCCAGGTTCACCGGCATCATTGTTGAATGCCTAGGTTAAGTCTTCGGGGGGTGTTCCTTATGTAGAATAGCTGTGTCGTTTGGACACCTTACACCGACAGTGGCACGGGTCACCCCCCACGCTGCGCCCCAGGCGGTCCATCCAGTTAGTGTCGCCGACAGTTTTGTGGCCGGTGAGGGTTAGTGGCGCATACAGCTGCGTTCCCGGTCATGTATCGACCTCATTTATGCCAGCCATTCAAGCATTGAAAGCTGTAATTCACGGGGTTCAGTTGATGATAAGAGCTGGAGGGCGAGTTGTAGCACATCTGGCTAGTATACGCATGCGTTTTTGTTAGAGTTCTAAGCAAAAACAAACGTCAGGTTAAGGTACGCGATTCTGATAACACACACAACCATTCCAGTAGGATGAGACAACCCCACTGGCGTATCGTGCCGGGGGGGGGGGGGGGGGGGGGGGGCAGCGGGCACATCCCTTTGCAGGTCTTTCCCGGGCTGTACGGGAGCACCCACTCCCAGGCCCGGGTCGGCCGTGCCGCAGCATTGTGCGGCACGTAAAATCCTCCCCATTCCTGTCTGGCGAGTGGGCGGATGCAAAATTATCCGTTGAACTGGGTGGCATGACTTGGGTGGTGGGTTCAGGATGCAGGAAACGAGTTATGCTTAGCAGGTACTTTGAACCCAAGGCTACCCGTACAAAGCTATTCGGAAAGCTTTTTTAAATGCGTGAGCGCTTTCTGACAAATTAAACTATCCCACAGTTTTAGTTGGAGCATGCTGTATCCCGCTCGTCATTCTTCCCGTAGAATCCTGCACAAGCCGCTGTCAGGACACCAAATACGGCTGAACCGGTGGCGCCACCTATAAAAGTGTGCAGGCTGCTCCCTCACGCAGCCCAGTCGGCTGACCTGTTTGCCGGCCTGTGTGCGCGCCCGATCCAGCTCAGCGGCCAGCCGGCGCGCCTCCTGCTGCTGCCGCTCCAGCGAGGCCTCCAGTTCGGCCAGCGCCGCCTCACGCTGCTCCTTTTCAGCGCGCCACTGGGCGGCGCGTGCGCCCTTCTCGGCCACATCTCGCTCGATCTCTGTTACGTGGCGCGCCAGTCGTTCACAGAGCTTCTGCTGACGCTGCGCCTCGGCCGGCGGACAGTGCGTGGCCAGCAGACGAGTCAGCTCCTCCTTCAGCGCGAACACCTCCTCCACGCAGTTCTTGAGCAGCCGGCGCTGCTCGTCCACCTCGCGACGCAGCAGGTCGCGCTCATCTCTGCCAGGAGTCGGACAGGCATTGACGCTCAACAAGCGTGGGCCATCCAACCCCTTTGACAGACGCTTGGAGTGATGACACGTTGCACACGATCAGAGACACCGCAGATGATGATAACGTGAATGGTTGATAGCCATGCGTGCCTTATATGATATGACTTACACTTACTCGATATGTATGAAATGTGTGAAGGATGCATACATATTTTCTTATGTATGCTTGGAACTCATCAACCTTCTTAAAATGGACGTCCTAAATGTCGCACTATGGCTGCTTTTAGGGGCGAGGGGCTTTCGCTTCCTGGCAATGCACGGGGACCCCTCAACGCGCACGATAAGTCCAG